TCCGACTCTCCTGTCGGTTTTCCCGATGAGTCATCGAGTAAGAGTCACGGTCTGGTGCCAACGTCAGTGAGAGCTTTGACGTCAGCGAGTCGGGGTGACGTCAGCGAGAGTCATCGCTCGATCTTATCTGTCAGCAGGTGAACGTTTATTAGACGGATGCCGGCGACTCGGGCGCCCGCTAGAGTCAACCTTTGTGGCTCTGAGGACTCTGGCGACCCCCTGGCGGTGACGGGAAATTCTAATCGAGGGTGTAATCGTCGGAATTACATGTTCGTTAACGGTACGCCAGGAGACTGTGAGACGGCCCTCTCAGCCGCACCCGCGACGCCCGGGCCGCGGCGGCGGCCGCCGCGGCGCAGCGGGGCCGAGGCGGGCCGCCGCGGGCGACGCTGGCGGCGCGTCGCTATCCTAAGGGAGGCGAGGACTGGGGGAGGGGTAAGGACGGGACGGCGCTACGCTCGCCAGTCCGTGCGTGACTGCCGCGCGCAGAAGAGTCTACCAGCGAGAGGAGATTGGAGAGCGAAGTACCGCGTTAAGCAGTTCCCTTCTGTGCAGTATCGGCCTGTGCAACGATGGAGCACGCCGCCTTAGGATACGCCATCACCGGTAAGATATCACCGGCGCACGCGACTACCTGTCCGTCGTTTAGGCCACCATCGCGGCCCAGGCGGCCCCTCTGAGCGGCCCCTCTGAGCGCTGATCGCTCCACACGCTGACAGCCCGTACTTATTCGGGTAGCCGCCGACCGGCCCCTCTGAGCGCTGATCGCTCCCCGCACTGACCGGCCCCTCTGAGCGCTGATCGCTTCACGCACTGACCGGCCCCTCTGAGCGCTGATCGCTCCACGCACTGACCGGCCCCTCTGAGCGCTGATCGCTCCACGCACTGACAGCCCGTACTTATTCGGGTAGCCGCCGACCGGCCCCTTTGAGCGCTGATCGCTCCACGCACTGACCGGCCCCTCTGAGCGCTGATCGCTCCACGCACTGACCGGCCCCTCTGAGCGCTGATCGCTCCACGCGCTGACAGCCCGTACTTCTTCAGACCTGGCCGCTGATCGGCCCCTCTGAGCGTTGACCGCCCCACAAACTGACACCCTGTACTTATTCTGGTGGCTGCTAACCGGCCCCCTCTCAGCGCTGCCGGCTCGTACGCCCGACGCGCGCGCGCGCATGAATCGCTGACTGGCCCTATAGCGCGACTGGCAGCCCGTCTGCACGAATGGAACTCTAACCCGTCCCATAGCATTGTCGGCTCACATACACTGGTAAACAGCGGTACGCACGAATGAATCGAACGCACGCTGACCACCGCATGCGACCACGTACGGCCCGTACACATCAGGTGACCGCGCGTACGCCAACCACGTGGCCCAGCCCAGCAGTCCTGACGTCACACCGCCCTCAAAGAACACGGTGTCGAACGGCGGTGGGCGAACGTGTGGTGCGGTTGACACCTGACCGTCCATTGTTTACTTTTCCCGCCCGACTGGTGTTTGACCGTGGGTTGTTTTCGCGCTCTCCCCACCGGTCACCCTAGCGTTATCGTACCCATAATACCGCTGGTGACGTTCCCGGCGAGGCCAGTGGCGGATCCAGGGGGAGGGGCAAAAATGGGCATTTGCTCCCCCCCCCCCAACGGCATAATTTTAACATTACGCCTATGGACGATGCATGGAAAGATTCGATAAATTGTTATGGTTTGCCCCCCCCCCAAACCTCTGAGCTGGATCCGCCTCTGGGCGAGGCCGCCATGTCGCCAACGCCCCCCCCCCCCCCCCGATACTGGCGTCTCAGTGGACCTAAGCGCCTTCATCCCACTCACAGGACTGCAAACAATGCCCCTAACTGACGGTCTGTTATCCTGGCCTACAGGACTCCGACCGCTCACCCCAACGGACAACACCGCAGCGCGGAGCGCGATCGTTGGCCCCTGGGCAGACGTGACAGGCCCGCTACCCCCTACAGCAATGCCCGCCCACCAGACGACCACCGGAGCTGACGCGCCGGCGGGCCCCCAGCCGGCCCCGGTACCAGCAACAACACGGGCCCACGGAGCCGGAGACCCACCGGCTTGCCCTGTGCCGCCGGCGACGGCCGGCGCCGCGGCCCCGCCCTCATGGGGAGGCGCGGCACACACCCCTGCCTACCCGGCGCCTGGAGGCGCGCCCAACTGGCCGGCGCCCGGAGGCGCGCCCAACTGGCCGGCGCCCGGAGGCGCGCCCAACTGGCCGGCGCCCGGAGGCGCGTCCAACTGGCCGGCGCCCGGGGGCGCGCCCAACTGGCCGGCGCCCGGGGGCGCGCCCAACTGGCCGGTGCCCGGGAATGAACAGTTCGCCGGCGTCGGCCCCACACCCACGACCCAGGCCTACAACCGCCCGGCCCCCGCGACCCAGCCGAGCGGCGCAGCCAGCACCGGGCACGGGCTGCCCCCACAAATGATCCAGCCCTATGACGAGTACCGACGCTCAGCCGGCGAGACTAGAGAGAGCGCAGCCGCGGCGGAACTAAAGGCACGCGAGCGAGGGGTGGCGGTGGACCGCGCACAGGACCACCAGCAGCTGCCGGTAGTGTCCTACGCGCAGCCGCCGGTACCCGCCCTCCGGCTAGCCGGGGTCAGCACCAAGGCCGCCCAGGACCTCCGCCACCGAGGCCGCTACGTCGCTGTCGACGACTCGGGGGATGAAGTAGGGGGCCCGCTGACGACCACCGCCCACTATTTGGCCCGTGTAGCCGAACTGCTGGCTCACAGAGCCTACCATTTCCCAGCGGCGGGGCTCCAGCTGACAAGTTACATGGCGTGGCTGATGCGTACTTACGCCGACCGGCCCCTCGCCGAAACTCGGGCCGCCGACGCCAAAGCACGAGAGGCCATGGCGGCAAATCCGAGTATTCTGCACACAGCTCTCGACTGGGACGTGCTGTGCCGGCCTGGCATAACACCAATTAGCCACAGTGTGGAGACCAGGAAGCCGCAGCGGGCAATCATCTGCCAGAACTTCCTGGCCGGTCGCTGCCCCGCCCACCCGTGCCCATGGTTCCGTCAGCACCCGGCCTGCCTCATCTGCCGACAGAGCGACCACGCGACGGAGCAGCACCACGCCAGAGACCGCAGCCCGCTAGCCGCGCCCGGCCCGCTGATCGGGCCCGGCCCGGGTGTCCGACGCCACCAGCCGTACACGCTGGCCGGCCGCGTCCCCCGGCGCTGAGGACACGGCTCCGCCGGCGCCCCGCCCCCGCCGGCAGTCGCCGCGCCCCCTCCCCACGTCGGCCATGGCACCGTCCCCGCTGACCCTGCCGGCGGCGGCACTCGTGTAAATACTGTACAGATGTTTAACCAAGACCCCAGCACCACAGGTAGGGCGGGCCCTGTCGCCGCTTCTTTCCCTGCGCTGCCGGCCGCGCCGACGCCCCCGCCTACCACTGAGCACCGCCCCCACGACACCGGGATTGATGTGCCTGCGTTATTTCGTCTGTTGACCCACTGCCCGGCGGTCCCAGCCAAACACCGAGATACCATTATCCGCCGGTTCGTGGAAGGGGCGGACATCGGCTACCGGGGCCCCGCAGAGGCACGGCGCACAGACAACAATCGGTCCGCGTTACTGCGGCCGGCGGGCGTCTCCACCGCCATCGCCGCAGAGGTCGCAGCTGGGACGACGCGAGGTCCTTTCACGGCGCCGCCCCTGCCAGCCTTTATCACCAACGCGCTAAGCGCCCGTGACAAGGGGGACGGGAGCGTGAGGTTAATGGGGCGTTCTAGGGGAAACTAATCCACCAGGTGGCTCTGCTAAGCAAAGCCTCAAAGGCGTTTGGCGCAGCTGTTACAAATCTGGCGCGCATACATTTTGCAGTCTTTGATAGGCTGCGACTAGCGAGTTGTGCGGATGAGGAGAGGAAGGGGAGTCGATTATCTGAGCATATATTTAATTGTATTGTTGTAAAAGTTATAGGAATCGTTCTTGCACGAACCTTGCTTTGAAATCTTAGTGCCTCGTACTATGGAGGTCGGATATGAAACGTGGAGTGTACCAAGACTGAAGGAAGAGCTGAAGCTGAGGAACAGTAAAACGTCTGGTCGAAAATCGGCTCTAGTGCAGAGGTAAGGTTTATTTGAGTATGTTTTCTTTTATGATGTTTATCCCTTCAAAGATTCTAGCTATGCCCATTGATGCAAGGGCACTCACAAAGTAAGGGCGTAAGGGCCCATGCGGCATGCCATCCCCATGGCCCATTTAAATTGCGATTTGGGGGCCTGCCTCAAATGTGTTCAGATGGCCCCTAATGGGTCCTCAAATCAAACGAGCCCTTAATTTTAAGACTGCCAAAGACCATCTAAAAATTGATGGTGAATGAAACCCCTGGGAGGGCCCATCTCGGGTGAATTTTCCGGCTGGGGCCCCTGGCATGAGGGGCCCAGTTGGCAGGTCATGCCCACCTGGCACCTACAGCTACATAAAGAATCCTTATGAGTAGTGGTCCCTTAAGGCTAAAACTATTATCTGAATGGACAAACTGCATCATATGTAGCATAACCGTGCTAACATACTGAATATTTTTTTTTCAGACTTCAAACTTTGGACTCTGCGTCTTACGTCCCTGGTGAATGAGAAACCAACCAGGAAAATGATCCGACACGGGCTGACTCAGCTGCTTGGCCTCAATCTACTGATTTCAAGATGTATGATGGAAATCAGCAGGAAAGTCTGACAAATGTAGAAATCAGCTTTTTCTTTGCTTCACACAGTCAGTCAGTGAGCCGAATGAAAGTGGAAAATCAGGCTGGGTACAAGATGCTTCATGAGATGTTCCTTCTGTCCCTACTTCATGCAGGCAATGGTGAGGCAGACTTTTTCCGTGCACATGTCCATGCAGAAATGTCGAAGACTGTGACATACTATGCATATGTCCGTCTGCATGGTGGCTCAGTTGAGTTTTGCCACTGTGAGTGTCCTGCAGGTGCAGGGCCTCATGCTACGTGCAAACATGTTGCAACTGTGCTCTATGCCATTGAACATGCAGGCAGGACAGGGGAAGTTTTGGTGCGGAAAAGTGTGACTCAAAAACAGCAAAAGTGGCATGAGCCAAAGAGGGTGAGAGTGGCTCCGTGCGCACTGTCCTCAAGAGATATGCCACTAAATGTGTCTCAGGCATCCTCAAGTGATGAACATCATGCAAGTGGTTCTGGAGAATTTGTATTCGACCCACGACAAGAGCATGACAGAAACGTGCCAAAGGCGGAGAAACAAGCCAGGCTGAGATCTCTGCTGTTGAATTACCATGCCAACAAGTCTGGGCCACAAATGGCGATCATGCAAGGTTTTGATGACAAAGCCAACTGGGAGGCAATCATGCTAGACCATGATTATCTTGATGTTCCGCTCGACATCCAGTGGCTCTTCAGGCAGCTGAAGGTAATAAGGCCTAGGTTTAGTTTATTGATAGTCACCATTGAATATTGTATTGTTCGTTGTTATTGCTTGTTCAAAGACATATGACAACTGATATGCAAAATATCTTTATTACTATTCTGTTGCCTGGAATAAGAAAAAAACATAGCCTTTTTCCATATACAACATAAGCCAACAACAAATGCTGGATTTTGACCACTCAATTAAGTATTTTCTTGAAAAGTCTCTGTTTGTTTCAAAAGTGTGTTTATCACGCAGGAAACGAATGTAGGTACATATGTACACATGTACCTGCCCCATATGACAGGAAGGAAAGACAAAAAATCAGCTCACTGACACTGAGTTGAATTTTTCGTTGGCAGGATACTGATGTCGGCGCAGTCGAGCAGCACACCAGAGGTCAGACGACCAGCAAACTGTGGCACGCAGAGCGAAGCCTGCGGATCACAGCGTCGAATGTCTCGACGATTATCAACATGAAAACCCGCGACCCTCACCAGCTGGCTGCGACCCTGGTCGCGGGAACAGGAGCTCCACGGTTTGCGGCGACAACGTGGGGACGAAATTTCGAGCCCCAAGCAATCAAACGGTACGAGGAACTCACTGGGTGTGGGGTGATGAAGAGCGGGCTCGTCATACATCCAGAGCTAAGAGCCCTCGCAGCATCGCCCGATGGCATTGTGGGCGATAAAGTGATCGAGGTAAAGTGTCCCTATAGTATAAGGAAAAGTGCTATATCGCCCTCGAACTACTCGCATATCGAGATCAAAGAAGGAGCTCTCATGCTCAAGCGGTCGTCCCCATACTGGTGGCAAGTCCAAACGCAGATGTTTTGCACCGACAAAGTCGAGTGTGACTTTGTAGTGTGCACAAAAGTTGATACAAAGATCATCAGTGTCCCTGCTGATACAGCAACTTTCCGCAACGTAGCTCTGCCCAAACTGGCATCCTTCTACGACACCTATATGGTGCCAGCAATTCTGTCTGCTAAACTTGGGATAACGAAGCCATCATCCATGGACATAGATGAGGAGCTGGCTCTTACTTACTTTTAAGCATCGCATGCGCGCTCCCGTTTAGCGCTCTGTCTGTGCTTGCAGCGTGCCCGTTTGAATGTCAAACTTGTGTATCAATCACCAAAAGGGCAAAGAAAGTGAAACATTTTCGTACACAAAGTGTTGGTACATGCTTTAATAGTAATAGGTACATCCCTGTTCGCCTCGTTTGATCCGTGGCCCCCGCCTTACCCCATCCGGGCTAACCCGTGCCCGGCCCCCCTGCATAAGCAGGGCAGGCCGGGCCGCCGGCCTGTCGCGCGGACCGCCTTTGGCCCGCGGGACTGGCCGGTGGTCAGGGGGCGCCGCCTCGCGTGGAAAGTCGCACTGAGGTGCGAGGCGGCGCGGGCGGGGGCCAGCGATCTTGTCTCAGCCACGTGTGTGACGGGCTGGGGTCCGGCATATCTAGACATGCTTATGTATGAAGGTGCGCCCCGACCGGGGAGCGTGTCTTACCGTGATCTGTGAAGGGCACTGGGCGGTGTCGGGTACATAATCCGTGTTAACTGTGAAGATGCATTGGCTCGTCAAAAACTGTGACTTGACGCGCCGTGCCTATTCTTCTTCAGCTGGACTTCCGCGTCTCTGTGAAGTGTCGTTTGCTCTGTTCATTGCTCTCGTCGTGAAAATGACCCTCAATGCAAGGTGTATTGGTTAAAAAAGGGATATCCCTGTTTGTGTTGTGTTCGGTGGTCATGTATATTTTCCCTGTGCTGTAATGTGTCACAATACATTGAGCATTCCCTGAACGCTCCTTTGTTTTATGTCGTTTCATAGGAATTGATTGCACGGTCATTGGTTATCAAAACGCAACAATGCTCTTTACAAATGTACATGGACAATTAAGTTACGGTACATCGTTGATCTCACACCCGCGAGTAACAGCAACAAGGGTAATAGCGGCTGCCTGGTATTTGAGATTCGGCTCAACTCTGTTACTACACGCGCCTGTATGCGTCCCTGTATTACACGTTTCTGAAAACTGCAAAAATTGATGTAATATGAGACGTGTATTCATTGATCTGTCGGAACATAGTAAGTCAGAGACATACATAGGTATACACTAGGACATTCAGAACCTCTCGACTCGCTGGAGTGTGGTACGCTTACTTCACTATATTCCTTCGGAAGTTGGCGAGCATGAAGCAGATGTACACTATTTCCGTGCTTAGCTTAACCTGGGATACACACATCCGACCACGTAGAATAGCGTAAGTCTTGGCTAACCCAATAACACGTTCCACGTGTATGCGTCGAGATGACAGGGCCCCCGATGCGGCTCTTTCGCTAGGCGGTAACTGTCCTCTACCCTTCATCGAGGCTGGGGTCACAAGCTTCACAGATCTAGACTCGGCGAGGCAGCGATCAGTGAATCCACGGTCAGCAATGACCTCCGCTCCCGGCCCGAGGCTCTCCAACAAGCCGCTTTCCTGCACTATCGCATTATCGCTGGTGCTTCCACCATATGTCTGGGAAACGTGAGTTACGATACCCGAGGGTGTTATTGCCACTAGTGTCTTCATGGTGTTTGTAGATTTGTACGTACTATACGTGGCCTGCTGCGCGATCACGTTTCCAGGCTTCACAGTTGCTACCTCTGTACAGTCTATAATCACCTTTGTGATCCCTGAATCCTCGCTGCGGCCCGCCCCGAACCCACAACCTAGTCCCATGTCCAGAAACTCGCGATACATAAAGTTCACCCATGTGATGACTATGTTGGATATCAGCGAGACTGACACGTCATACATCATGCTCAGTTCAAAAAGTTCTTTGTTTCTCTTTAACTTTACCAGTGTAATGAAGAAACAGTCTAGAGGAGGGATCACCGTGCAAGCAGAGCCATCCGGGTAATATTGAAGCCTATGCGCTGCCGGACCCAGGCAGTCAAATACGATCTGGAAGTGTTCGAAGCTCTCAAACCCGGTATAGAACTTGATGGCCTTGTCATTGTTACTGAAGCGGTCTACTGAGAAGTTCACGCTACTTTGCTCTGCTTGCACGGATTTATCAGCACGCTCAGGTTGAGGTGCAGACTCATCAGCGACTTCAGCATTTTCATGGTAGTCATTCTCAGCAACAACTTCCTCAACTGTATCAAAGTTGCCTATCCTATCAAGAGTTGCATCAGGCTCTTCAGCAACATCTTCTTGTTTAGATGTGTGCTGTCTTTGTATGCTCCTGGCTCTCCTCTGCACTTCTACCTTATTCTTTGCAGAAGTCCATGGGAAAATGCTTGGGACAGCATCTTTTTTCAGCTGCTTCCTGACTGAAAGCAAAACAGGAGGAATTGTGGTTAGATTATGCATCAAAATGAACACAATATCAAAGGTGAAATGTTAATAGGTATAAACTACCTGGCAAAGAATTGCTATTTATTGACCTTGGCGTGATATTTTATATTGAATTGTGTTGCATTCCTTAACAATCTATGAAGTTACTGATTATGGATGTCTTTGTTCTCAAATGAATTGTGCCCTGATTTGCATTTTAAAAAGAAAGAATAGGTACCTACTGAGGCAAGGCTAGTGTAGGATTGCTTATGCTGGATCACATGTTAAGTTACATTTCTTCACATAATAAGCGAAACATAAAAAGTGATAAGTGAAAATACGGATTCATCAACATGAAAAAGCAAACATGGGTACCTGTAGCAAATGTTGAAAGTGAGTGGCAGATTTGAAATCCCATGCTTAGATGACAAATTGTTTTTGAATGAAAATTGTTTTTTGTTGACAATTTATTTACTTACCAATTCCTGCCATCTTGGATGTCCAGGATGGCTCCATATAATCATTCGGTGTGAAGTGTTTTCGACAAACTACAGATGATGCTGAAGGTTTCCACACAGATCCTCGTTTTGAACCTTCTCTCCTGATCTTCACCAACCAGGTCTTGCGGAGCTGTGGTGGGTAAAAACAGTCATGTAAAATGTGGCAATGTCTTTATGTGAGATCTGAAGAAATAGCTTTACATTTGCATTACTTGTGCAAGCAAGCATGTTAATACATTTCCAGGTCAGGGTATCAAGACCAATTTATAAGAATGTGCAAGTTGCATGTGAAAACAGACATTACGGCCTCAGTGAGACATCTTTAAGCCAAAAGGCTGTGGAAAGTTCAAAAGGAGTTTCAGCAATGGCATACTTAAATGGCAGGCGGCCGACATGATATACTACACATGATCAATCCATGATAGGTATGCCCTTCAGGCTGTATCAGTAGCAAACATATGCCAATTTCTTGTACACATAGCCCTTGGTGGAGAATGGTTTCAAAAGTTGGTGTCAGTGTGGCGAGGAACATCTCGGTGTGGCCTAGCATCATCTATGTTGTGGTCTGGGTCATGCCACATTATCCCCCCATGTACATGACTGATGCATTTGATGAGCTAAAACCTCTGACAAAATTTCAAGTCCACCTTGCCATTTGGACATAAAAACATTGAATATGTTATATGACGTGTGGTAACCGGGTTATTCACTTTTCTCACCTTCTCTTCACGTGGTATTTTGTGCCCTCCAACAGTGCTACTGCATCCAGGAACACAGCAGCCAACCATGTTTGCAGGCTTCTTTATTTTATCCAAGGCCTTCTAACGCTTCTATCTAACGCTTCCGATCGTCTTTACAACAAGCTCAATCACAATCCGATAAACCCGACTCCAAACTCTACTCAGATTCAAGTTCGAAAGACATACGCATTATATTCGAAATTTCTTCCCAGCGTCAGTCAGCCATCATTTCCATGAACCTGATTCGCTTACAATGGCAACTGAGAGCAGCTCCAGTACAAAAAAGTAAAAATGAACACGATAAGACTGCGCCGCATTTGGAACATCTGCGCAAAAAAACTTTGAGGCTTTGACTAGCAGCGACATCTATATGAGCTTCTCGTGGAACGCCCCATTCTAGACCTGTCGCAGCCCGCCGGCAGCAGTGTGAACGACGGCATTGACGCAGCGCAGTTCCGGCTGTCCTACACAGCAATAGACGAGGCGTTTCGGCTGATATTCGCGCTGGGCGGCCGGGGCGCACTGCTCGCCAAGGTCGACATTCAGGCGGCTTTCAAACTGATCCCGGTGCGGCCCGACCAGTGGCGTCTACTGGGGTTCCAGTGGCAGAACAGCTATTACTATCAGACCGCCTTGAGCTTCGGCAGTCGGAGCTCGCCCCGCATTTTTAATGACTTCGCCGAATGCCTTGTAGCCCTATTCCAGCAGCGCGCGGGAGCCGCGGCAGTTCGGCATTATCTGGACGATTTCTGGCTGGTGGCCCCTCCTGGGACCAGCGACGCACACAAAGCGTATCGGGCCGTCAAAGACGTGTGTGCCGAGCTGAGAGTGCCGCTAGCAGCCGGGAAAAGTGTCCCGCCCTCCACCGCGCTCACACTGCTCGGGGTCTCGATCGACACAGACGCCATGACGGTGGGCTTACCCCCTGAGAAGCTTCTCGAGCTGCGCACCACCATCGGTGACCTCCTTTCACGCCAGAAGTGCACCAAACGCCAACTGCTTTCTGTGGTCGGGCGTCTCGTACATGCCAGCAAATGTGTGCCGCCGGGTCGGGCCTTTACGCGACGCCTGCTCCAGCTGGCCTGTTCTGTGACAGCCCCGCTCCATCGGGTGCGACTGACGGCCGCCGCCCAGGCCGACCTGCGGTGGTGGGCAGAGTACCTCCCGCGGTGGTCTGGGACGTTCCCACTGCTCAACCCGGACGACCGTACGGTGGATATCATACTCCACACGGACAGCTCGAGGTGGGGCACCGGGGCCTGCTCAGGTCAACGGTGGTGGCTCTCACCTTGGCCTGCCGGCACCACCGACAGTGGCTCCCCGTCTATGACCTGGATCGAGCTAATCCCCATCTTGGTCTCCCTGGTGTTGTGGGGCGCAGAATGGTCCGCTCAGCGGGTGCGAGTGTTTTCGGACAACATGGGAGTGGTCGGGTGTGTCTCGCGCGGGTGGTCCGGGGACGCCCGTATCATGGCACTGTTGCGACATTTACTGTTCGTCACCGCATGTCACGCCTGTGTTTTGTCAGTGGCATACGTGCCGACGGCCGACAACGGGCCGGCGGACAGCCTGTCCCGAGGCGACCTCCCCCGGTTCCGGCGCCTGCAGCCCACCGCTCATGTCAGGCCGGACCCTGTGCCCCCCGGACTAACTGACTATTTGCGGGACCCCAGCCGCGGCCCCGAAACAATCACCGGTTTCCGCCTGTGACGTGTCACTCATCAATACACATTTACATTCTGTCCTGTCGGGCGTGATTGGCGTAAGAAACGGAACGAGAGGGACGGACGGCCGATTATCAGCCAACGGGACGACGGAGCGCAGTCTGAAGGCGTTACAGTTAACGGAAGATAACGTGTTATATGTTCGTTAACGGTACGCCAGGAGACTGTGAGACGGCCCTCTCAGCCGCACCCGCGACGCCCGGGCCGCGGCGGCGGCCGCCGCGGCGCAGCGGGGCCGAGGCGGGCCGCCGCGGCGCAGCGGGGCCGAGGCGGGCCGCCGCGGGCGACGCTGGCGGCGCGTCGCTATCCTAAGGGAGGCGAGGACTGGGGGAGGGGTAAGGACGGGACGGCGCTACGCTCGCCAGTCCGTGCGTGACTGCCGCGCGCAGAAGAGTCTACCAGCGAGAGGAGATTGGAGAGCGAAGTACCGCGTTAAGCAGTTCCCTTCCTTGATTTTTTTTTTTTTTTATCCTCACATGTCGACTGTCCCTCTCATAGGCCGTAAGAAACGGAACGAGAGGGACGGACGGCCGATTATCAGCCAACGGGACGACGGAGCGCAGTCTGAAGGCGTTACAGTTAACGGAAGATAACGTGTTATCGTAACCTTGTACTGTCGAGCCCTGAAATCAAACGTTACGAGCCATAAAAGGTTATCGGCTGTCGGTGTGTGACGTCCCAACCTATCGCACAATGAGTGCCACTTATACTGGTTCTAGCTGCAGTGCTGTGCCTGGCCACTGCACTTTGCATTGGCTTAGGACTCTTGATGTTTACATACCGTTATTCTTATATTGCATTGTTAGAAAACTTAGAACTACCTTGAGACTGTTTGCCTCAAATCAGTAAGAAAACGCGATAGAAGCACTGCTTGCCAGTCTTTCTCACCGGGTCCGCCGCCAACGAGTTGACTACCAAACGTCTGGCGCTCTATGTAGTCTCAACCAGCTCCTTAGCGTAACGCAAATAAGATACTCGTTCCGCACAGGGGTTCCTTGTAGTTCTTTTTATGGTGCCCTCAATACGGTATATCCTCGTATGCAGGCCGTTTTAGTGGTGTGTCATCAACCTTTGGTCGTTAGTACACGGGTTCGAGTCGTTTCGTCTGTCGAAACCATTCCGGAAAACAGCAAATTAAACACAAACCTCTAATAAACCCAATGAAACCTTCAGCCGACAGGGTGAGCAGCTGCAATGGAAACTGACTGGTCCGTTGACCCGTAGGACGTTTGGATTTCCACTTTATTGAAATACCCAACCATGTTCAGTGGATGGACACTAGCACTCAACTCACTGCAATCTGGGAATATTTAACGAGGCAAAGTATATGGATACCATGCATTTTGACGTTCGCTGACTTACACTGATAAGTCTCGTCAAAGCACTACGGAGCGGAACTGGAGGACGTTTTAATCGAAGATATGTGATTTAGCCGAAATTAAAAACTCGTCCTATTTATAGCAACAGCTCAGGTGCAAAGGCACCATACTATAGGTACTAATTGAATGACTCGAGGATCCCGAAATCACCTAAAAAATGTTTGAATGATTTACAGCAAACCGCAGTGCCGGTAAGGAAGACACTCGAAGCTCAAGCCTTGTTCGTCCCGCGCTGGTGGGCTGGTGGCAATGGTGTTCGTTTTATTGATGATTCATGACATGTTCATTGTTCATCAACTGCGAATATCCATTAATCACTGAGGGGGCTCCCCATTGGACGTAAATGATTACGGAACATTCGCCATTATAAACGTACGGTATTGTTTACATAGGGAACTTCTAGGCATAGTCCCAAGTGAATAAATGTGGCTATTTTGTCACGCGATACGAGTCCATTTATGATATAGCTGATGTGATCACCTTACCACTGAAAAACACTGATCGTGCATCCATGTTTTGCTTGCTGGAGCGGCTATAGAACACGCTCCATGTCGGGAGTTAATCGTAATCTGCACGCTGTGGTACTTTGCGAGGGAGACGTCAGGTATTCCAACTGGGTTTACCACCTCGTTGGTATGCTGTTTTGGGGACACTGATACGTCTCAATGTTAATGCTTTTATTATTGTTTGTCGTCATTGGCCCCTCAGAGGTGACCCTACGTCTTTTCGCGAGCACTGAACCCCTCCGGTCGGTCAGTACTGGGGCCACTGATTCTGTTACCATAAATCCTGGTCAGATGATAGGGAGTGACCGCAGACCATTTACGGCAATGTTTAGGTGTGAATTGGCCCCTAACCTGTTCTGACGTCTCTGACTCATGGCGAACAGCTCATGCATCGCGAATCCAGTCCAGACACGTGTCGGGGCGGCTGAGTCATTTTTGTATTTGTTGACGTTTGCTCGTCTCACACCTTCGGACTGTCACAACAATAGCACGTGGCCTTCATTCAAAACACACGGTTGGCGAGTAGAGGCGGAAGGCGCATTTTGCTGTTTTGGGATGCATCGGGAAAAACAATGATGGTATAAGACGAAGACGACGACGCGCAGTGAAGAAACCGAAGCTTCAGGTTTTCTCGATTATGAAGCCATGTTGAGTTCAAACCCTAAACGAATTGAGTTGACATTCCCGATTATGGGACTTTTTGTGCTGGATCGCATTAGGCATTTCACATGACTGAAGGTGTGACTTTCTTCACCTCTGACCTTTTACCTGTGACCTCTGACCTAAGCTAAAACCGATGTGTGCGACCTGATCTCGGCTAGACTTGGCCCACTTGACCTCGGACCTACATGTGACCTGTACCTGTGAGCTGACCTCGGCTGAAGCCACTGCGTGTGATCTAACCTCACCTGTAGCTGACCATTGTGACCCGACCCTCGACCTCCAGCATACATAAACCCATGTGATCTGACCTCGGCTGCGACTGACCCGCGTGACCTCTGACCTCCGGCAGGTGAGCTGGTTCGCCGAGTACAGCCGCTCTCTGGCTGGCTACATGCGTTCCATCGGCGAGACCGGCCTGAATCTGACCGATGACCTGAAGCCGCCCAAACAGCTTTACATCGAGGTTGGTTCCGTCTCCGGAGGTGGTGAGGGGCTGAGAGGGTGGTATTCAAGTCTGGAGCGTTGGGGTCAACCAAACGGGTAGGGGACTCTGGATCAGACCAGCGCTGTTGGCAAACAGAATGAAGACGAAATAGAGACTAGCAGGTTAGAGACTGGACGTTAGAATAGAGGCTGGGACGGCCGTTTAGAAGACTGGTTTAGAGCGTATCACGATTCGCCATCAGTTTTTTTTCTGTTTGAAATGAGTATCACGAGGAGTAAAAAGTTCCTGGATGATGAGTCTGAAATTTTCATGGGTCAAAAATAGGTGTCATTTGAGCCGGTCATAACACCGGTTGGCGACCAAGATAGACCCTGGTGTCTGGATTGTGTTTCGGTGTACCACCGCCGGCGAGCGTGCTCCGGTGGTCGGGTGCTATATCGGTCGTCAACTCATCAACTCACCGGCCCAGAATATCGTTCACGGAGTTCCCCGTGATAGTTGGGGAGTCACCCGACCTGCCCAGGGGGCTCGGCCGCATCCGGGCATAGTTTTATACAAAGAAGCATTCTTTGCTGTTCAAGCCATTTGAAAAATAATGATTGTGGTGTTAGTAAATGTATAATTGCTCCATCAAACTGACCTAACTACTTCAAGATATGATCCGAACAAAATATGTTTTATTAACTAACAGTGACAGCTAACTTAACCAAATGTTTCCTAATATCATTCACTCCACTCTAAGGTTAGGCTAGACCCAGGCATGATTTGACCCGACTGCCCCCCGAGAGGAGAGCTGTGCCTCTTACTTGACCGTCATTCCTTATGCGGGAACACCCTGCGATAGCCTGCAGTGATTGTCTGATCCGATACCCCAGCCGTTTGCGCAGGTACGATCCATAAACCACGCGCTGCTCCCATTCTGTCAGTCTTTCCGACTATGAAGGCGGGACTCGCGCGGGGCGCACTGCCTCCTTCGCTCTACCATTAGCGCAGATGAGACCCCAGCTCAGTTATTGAGCCACCGCTCCGGGTCGGGGCGGCGGCCGAGCCATGAATATCGCCGGGAAAGTCCCTCGGTAGTTTTCGCAGCAACTCGCAGCGGCTGCGCCATATGCCCCCAGCTCGTCTGGATTCTACTGGTATTGGCTCGCCACTGCGTATTTGATGATTGTTCACGGCCGAATTGATTTATTGTGGATGAAAAATGGCTTTGCCATATCTGTGTGTTTGAATTGTGAAGTATTTAAGAATACCGATCTGTGCTAACGTCCCTTCCATTTCATTTTTAAGTTGCTATTTGTCTGTCGCATAATCAGGCATGCTGTAACTAATACATAGGCTAGTGTTGCTTTTTCTTTTTACGGTTACAAAGTGGTTACTAATTTGACGATAATACATAGGCTAGTGCTGCTTTTTCTTTTTACGGTTACAAAGTGGTTACTAATTTGACGAATGGCAGGTGATGATTCTTTCATCACTCATAAAATACAGCCGTTTTGAAAAAAAAAAATTGCGCACCCAAGGTAGGCTTTAATATCGCTTTTCACTCCTCATTTTGAGAGGAAATTGCAAAAAAGTTAATATAGGAGATAAGAGATCTAGCAGATCAAGCTGCGAGGGAACACCCTGCTCAAAACCTCTTACGCATCTTCTGAGGTATAAGGATGCATCTTCTTAACGGTAGTAACCACTTGGAATAAACTAGCGGTCTAATACCAAGCCAATTTCGTAAAAGGAAGCGGTGATATCCCCTCTGCGTTGTAAGAAGTACCACATAATTTCTGACAGATGAAACTGCGTCTTAAGCTTTTTCCTCCTGCGCTGCTGACGCTCTGAGCTCGAATATTGCGTCGGTCGACAGCTTGTTACTATGTCGCAGAACGTTGGTAACTCCCTGCAGAGAGTTGGTAACTCCCTGCGGAGAGTTGGTAACTCCCCGGGCCAACGCTCGGCGCCGCCAATCTCCCTCCACCTGGCTGGTCAAACACCGCCGCGCGCCGGCCGGGGCGCAGCGGCCGGCTACCGCTACGGCGCTGAGCGTCGTAATATCGCTCCCATGCCGCGGAGGAAGTACCGGGGTCTCCCTCTGTGATCGCCGGGATATTTCCATGTCTTGGAGTGTCACTTTGTCGTCCCATGGCTCGAAGTGTCATCACATTGCTCCATGTGTCATGTCATTGCTCCATGTGCCGTCCTCGTGGCTTCTTGTGTCTGCCAGCAGTCCCTTGACCCCTGTGCCGCCGTGGCGTCTTGCCGTCCAACGTCTCTTGTCGCGCAGCGGGGCCGTCTCTCCCCAGTTCCCATGTCACCCCCATCCCCTTCCTCAACCCTTACCAAGCCGAGCCTGCTCCTTGTCACCTAGCCGAGCCGTGCTAGTGTCGTTCCGCATTGCTCACAGCCATATACGGTGCGGCCGAGTGTCTCTCGTGAACTCCGCGCCCGGTGATTCAGGGTCGCCGTCTCGCCGAGGCTCCATCGAGTGCATGATAAATCGCCTGCCGGGGCGGCCCATTGCCACTGCTGCCGGTGGCTAGGACTGGTATGGTCGCTGCCGCCACGCCTGCCCTGTTGGCTCACAGACAGTGTGAACGTTTAAATGGCATGCAGTCAGTGCGCCTGTAACCTCAATAAACAAACAAATGTCGTAAGTGATGCAGCGGTGTTGATATAAGGGCAAAGCTGTAACGGAAAACATGATTTGGTGCGCTCAAGGCGACCGTCGCTGCAACTAGAACGGGTCGGTAGCTCTGGTACTGCACAGGGACAGTCAAGAGTGACCCCATAGTTGATAGATGGCCAAATGCGAGATAACTGAACTTCATGCAATACAAAGGTGCAGCGCGTTCTACTGATGATCTTTTGGTGCGTGTATCTCTTCCGTCGCGGTGCTCGTTGTTCTTAGTATTGAGTGGCATCCCGTAAACATCCCTTGAGGGAATCCATGTGAGACCCACCATGTTGGGTCTGCGGTTGCAGCGCCGCCAACGACCCCCGCACCAGCCATGCTGCGGAGCTGCAGTCCCCCCCCCCTCCCGCCCTTCCCGCCGCTCCTGGGCTACCCTTCCCCCCCGTCCCACCGCGCTGGGCGGCCCTCCCTCCATTTCTGTCTGCAGTGTTGTCTAGTCCGCGTCGGTCGGCCCTTGTTGGACGGTCGTCGGCCGGCGGCAGGGAAGTCCCTGTGGTCGCCGGTCGCAGCCGCGCACGCTACAAAGTAGACACATTTTCCTGGTGGAGGGCGGCCCGATGCGGTCCTGACGGCGCTCGGTGACAATGGCGACGCTCTGGTGGCGCACAGAGACCGTCGCGAGGCTATTACACAGCACAGAGACAATCGTTACAAAGACAGATTGTGGAGACGCTCTTTAGCGACAGTCGCCACGCTATAGTATGGAACAGAGACGGTCGCATTGCAATGGTATATAGCAAACGGCGGTGGCCGTGGAACTGATGATACGCTTTCGGTGTTCTTGTTCTAGCCTTTTCGTCTTTGAGACGGTCATGCCGCGATGTTACCTTCGTATAATTAGCTGTTGGCATAGGCAGTAGATTTGTATGGTACATACTTCATTTATTCATTACATTTGAATATATTTATACATTCATGGACGATAAGCGCATACAAATTATGATTATTTCAAACCCATTCTGCTCAATGCAGTTTCCATGGGGTAATTACCATTGGCGTAATTATATTATGCTCGGCTTGTGCCATTCACACCAGCAAGCATGTTCATTATGGTGCCGGTGATGGTGCTTCCGCCGGGAGCGGGGGACGCTCGCGGGACGACTGCCGGCCACAAATAATACGGTGGTCGGGAAATGTGTGGAACAAATGGAGCCCGGGGACGAGTTTGCTCACCTCCAAAAATAGGATGGTCGGTCACGGGTGTACCGCAGTTATTTGCAGCCTCTACCGACTTTGCTGCCTTGCAAAGGGGAATTTTACCTGATTGTCGTTCGCGTGGCTCCACTGACCTATATGGGAAGGGGTGACCCCGATCTGCCGTCCTGTTCCACTTGCCGAGTTATAGAATGGGTGACCTGGCGGCCCGCTCAACTGACCGATTGATGGGGGTGGCGCGACTTACCAGTCCTGGCCAGGCCATGCGCGCAGCGCTGTTAGTCCTCTCAGTGAGTGAGGGGGGGGGTCGCTGCAGACGGCCGCAGCACGTGACATGTGTGTACATTAACGGGGGGGGTGCGACTGGGATTACCGTCTGTAAGCCGCGGCGCCGGGCCAGCCCGCGGCTCGTCGGCCCTGGTCCAGTTTTCCAGATCATCTCCATGACTTGTCTGGCGGAAGGATCTCTCCTCTCAGTTTGGGCTATGCCGAGAGCAGGCCACCCGCGAGAGGTAAATTCCGCATAGCTGAGTAGTCCGACCTGGAAATAACGCTGGTCAAGGCTGTCGGCATGTTTCCATATGAACCGGCCTGAAGTGGAAAGGTACAGGACCTCGGCCAAGGACCGGCGAGATGGCGCTCTAATCCTGAATTGTAAACGACGTCTGGAAACTCCCTTGTTCAGGATGCTGAACGACACGCGATTGCCTGTGTTGCGTTAGCATCTCCTTCAGTTCCGGGTGTAATTCGCATTATCAGTTATCTGGACACTGTTTCGGGAACATTACAGTGTGTTCTCTCATCGTTGCTTGCAGTGAGAATGTACAAATAAACGTCGCCAAGGTGTGGGCGCTTGCAGCTTACGTATCTATTTCGTCTGACCGCGCTTATGTTGCGCTGCATGATTGCAGAGTCAACAGCAGCGAATTGAACAGCTGCACGTCGCTACTAATTTATCGTTGCTCCAACTCGGGACAGGGAAACATTGAACGGGAGCAACTTTTCATTTTCGTGACAAGAGAAAAATGTCTCACATGCCAGGGACGGTGGTTGCTATCAGGAGAATCGTCGACTGGCCTTTTTTCTGCCGTGCCTGCTGGATTTTACCGCGAGTCGTTTGTGAGCTTCGTTTGGTGTCGTTTTCACAAGTCGCGTGGCACGAAAGTTTGCTGGTGGATTTCGTGATGTTTACCCACTACTGTGCAATGTGTAGTAGCAGACGGAGAGAAAAGTTACATCTTGACTGATAAATATGTTTTAATTCAGTAATGTAGTGTATCAGTTGCAAATATTTAGTCCTAACCAACTTCCATGAAGATAATTTTTGCCATTATCAGGGCATGGACAGAAATAACAAGCGACCATCAGTTTTGTCGGTTTTCCAGTGCCCAATGGCAGTGTACGGGATGTGATGCAGTTCCAGTGGCCCATACCGGTTAATGTCTGGGGCTTTCGTTGACTATTCGGAGCAACGAATCAGACAGCGGTTCGATACACTGCACTGGTGAGAGACGGGCTAGGGCCACGACTCTCCCTGTTCGCGTCTGAAAGTTTCGGTGGGCATGGCCTGTTGTCGGTGTCGGTGTGCGATGGTCGTGTTCAACGTTAGGCGTTAGCTGATGCACATTCAATGCCAGCCGATTTCGGTGACCTGGCTGCTGAGCTGTGTCCTTTGATGTGGTCGTCCCTCACCCTGACGCTGTGGGGCGCGATTAGGGCTCAGTCTTAGTATAACACGCGCAACTAGCGGAGGTATATTCCGTCGTCATTTACTTCTCCGCTCCCCCCTACAGCGCGGTGGGACTACCCTGACGCGCTACACCTCTGTGCCTGAGGAGATCTTCAGACAAAGCCCCGACGGCCCGGGGCTCCCCGCAATGCGCACCTCTCCCTCCTGGCTCATTCCCCGTTTTCCAGTGGTAACGACGCAGCCGGGGATTGTGCGACTGCGTGTTGGGCCAATGGGGCCAAAGTGTGACGTGGGTTAACGACTCTTACAAATCCCGGAGTCCCTGCAAGCGTGGAGCTGTGTCGGGAGTCACCAGGCTAGGGAACGGTGGCATGAGTCGTCGATGAACAACGCCTTGGGACGCCAGTGACGCAAATATTGCATGGACTGCGCAGTGCGCAGTGCCCGTAGACTATTGCATAAACGATAAACATGTCAAGTCAGGTCACACTTGTGTGTCAGTTGGTGACCCACCTGAACACATTGCATCTGCGTATCGGCGTCGAGTTGATTCATTATCATGAGTCGGGTATCGCTGATGTAGTTCAGAGCGTGAGCGTCCGACCAGCTCCGTGAAGATGCCGGATGTCTAGTCACCCCGCCTCTGCCTGGGGGTCCCCTCGGCCCCATCGAGCTGCTGCCGGGAGGGCGGCGTAGGCGGGGACGCTGGACAGACCCGCGGCCAGTGCCCTGATCCCGGATCCCCCACGTCCGGAGACGCGCCGTAAGAAGCGGATGTTGTGAACGAACATGGTATTTCTCTGTAGGTCCAGATTATGCGTCATTCGGTGCTTCCCAAGGCAACATGTCGTGATTATGTAACGGAGGTATTGTACTGTTCTAGTGTGTTCTAATTCGTCCGGAGCCTGGGCGCCAAGGTGGGAAGCCCGGGTCATTTGGTCCGTCAAAACTGGACACTGGGGTCGTGCCTGTGCTCTGGTGGAGCGCTGGTCAGTGGTCACGTATGAATAGATATGCTTGAGATACGATGCAAATAAATATCAGAAATCGCCTTGCCCTGGCAATCCTCGTTTTTCTTGAGGGAGGGGAACCACACAGCTAAATTTTACTGTCACTATCGAGCATATTCAGCCAGACAAGACACGAGTGTGCTGTAACGGCTTAGCGCTGATTGCCTTTCTATGTCTGTTCTGGTATGGTAAGCATATGAAAATACGATGGTTATCGCCGTAAACACCAGGCTCACGACATGCTTTCGTGTTGACTAACACGGCATTCGCAATGAACTGACCTCATGTCCTGACCTGACCTACATGACTGTGACTTGCCCCATGGGCTGACTCGGCCTCACCCATTGAACCGTCATCTGACAGTAATTTTTGCGTTGTCTGGGTCGAACTTATGACTTGGCCCGACTTGACCTCACGATCTGACCCGCATGCCCCTACGACTCGTGCTCTGACCCCGATAACCGAATTGTTGTCGCCAGGTGCGCTGTATGGAGGATTACGGAGAGTTTGAGACCGAGGACGGCGACGTCATGCTGCTGAAGAAGAACTCGATACACTTTCTGCCTCGCTCCCAGTGCCAGCACCTGGTGCGGCAGGGCGTTCTCCAGCACCTGGTCCACTGACCGGCTTGCGCCAGGGATACCGAAGCACCTGGCTCACTGACATGGCTTGTGTGAAGGGTACTTGAACATCTGGTTCACTGATAGGCCCGCGTATTCTCTGCTCGTCTCTGCTTGATCGGGCTAGTGTCTGCTACATGAGGATGACTAACAACGCAAAGGGCTATTGAGTGGCTCAGAGGTGATTAGAGGTTCACAGACTGTGAGGGCTTCCGTTGTGTGGGCGAACCCCACAATCTCGCCACAGTAAAGGTTATACAGTACACACTAAACGGTGGGTGGCGTGACTGATAGTGGGCCCTTCACACTAAGCTCGCGCCCTTCTCGTGCAGAGACCTGTGCGTGACCTCATCCAGTGACGTCGCAGCCCGGATCTGAGGTCGCCGATTGGCTGACAGAGTGGTTGACGTCACCCTGTGATGTCAGACGTGTGTGCCGGATGCAGTGATGTCACCATGTTGTGGGCCTGCCATCGACGGTTTAGCGAAATGGGAGTGGAGAGGGATGATTTCACGCAAATGCGGGGCACATTGCTCTTGTACTGCGTGGGAGGATAAGACATTGTTCATGAAGAGGGAGCGTTCCATGCGACATACCGGATGGTGGGATCTTTCCCGTGCTTTCGCTAAGCTCATGTGTCATTGTATCATTGTCACCTCACCGTCTCAATAAATGAGGTCATCAGATTTTCGTTCTTTGATATGATTGATATTCTAAAAGCTCTCCTACTTAACTAAAGTCTCCAAGTACAAAGGTGCCGCGAAAGACCTCACGTAGCTTCACCGCTGGATCCACTGAGGAAGTGACGGTGGCCCCAGTGTAGGTAGGGGTACCACCGGTCGACCTTAAGGCGGGCTGACCATCGGTCGATGCCCTCTCGGAAGGGCGGCTGGCGGGGCGCTGGCCCGGCGCTTAGAAATATAGGCGGGTGGACTCGACTGCCGGCAGCGGGTCGCAAGACACACCCGAGATCGAAGACCCCGACTGTCGCTATCCTCTATCATTCGGCCTATTTGCTCTCCACCACTCTGCTTTTTCGATAACGTAAGATCGTTCTTTTCGCAGCTATGGAACTGCGGAGTCTTGGCGGCCTTGAGCTTCAGCTACCTACGGTACCAATCGTACTAATAATCCCCAAGTTGGGAGGACCCCACTCCCAGCGTCCTCCAGCGAGATGGCTATTCAAGGTCTTGTAGCAGCGGCACATCGTCTCGGCTGCTGGTCGTGCCGGCGACTCACTGCTTATCTGACGGCTTCCTGTCCGCTCAAGACTGATGTGACTCAGGACCAGTTTATGCCGGCTGTGAATGGTACGGGGCAAGCCTGTCCCTGGATTTGCTGGGGTTTGAACGGGTAGATCACACATTTTACGAATGTGCATGAATGGACCCAGCATGGTGATGATTTGCGTGGAGTTAATGTGATTGTAATATATTGCACGTGTTCATCATCAACTCTTCAACTTAGTAGCGTATAAATAAGGATGGGTCGAATCGGCTAATCGAATGTAGTTTCCAATGGCTTCGACATCTTCAAAAGACTTAACCTTGACGTTGTCAGCGAGAAGCGACGTTAGCGTTTCATGGACATTAGGCAATGATCTTCATGAGTGCACCATCAGTGTCTAGTCTAATTGCCGTCAAATGGCTTTCATTGCCCCATACTTCTTTGAATATGTATGAACAATTAATGCTTTGTTTTGACAATGCGCATTGCTTTTGCATGGATCGGCAAGCAGCATGCGGATAGGGTCATTCGGCATTGTTTGCATTGCTGTTGAGCTACTCTCATCTGCTGTGATCGCGTGCTATTTATAGACGGTCAGCGACTTCTAAGATAGGCTATCCTATGCGGATGCTGACCGTGATTTTCCGTTTCCAGAACGCTTCCATGTTGGGAAACTGCGCATTTTTTTAAAACGAACTCATCTTTGGGACCTTTCGGCACGGAATTTTGGTGAGTACTGCGTAGTAGAAAATTCGGGAATGCTTATGCAACATTGAACAAGCTTACATAACAAACACGCACGGAGACCGAAAGTTTAGGAGATCGGTTTCCATCTGCGGTTAGGCTCGCAGCGGTTGATCTATCGGCCCGCAACATCTCACTCTGGCTCACAAATCTCCGTTACTGCAATAACATGGATGCGTGGGACATCCGATCACTAAAACTCCCTAGCTTGACATGGAATCCGCTGCAGGATTGTCCTCGCACAGTGGGTCCTTATAACTAGCAGACCGTATCTATTGCCCAAAGCGGCGTAGTGCCTAGGTCTGTCCCTGCGTGCCGTCCTATATTGCACCAATTGACTGTCGAGCACTCGTCCCGAGCCTCATTTCCGTCTCTGTCGTGTTACATAAGCTGGGGACAACGGTGGCGCTGCGCAATATCTATCGGACGGTGGGTAATCCCCCGGACCGGGTGGCCCTGACAGCAACCGCGCCGGGCGCACCGCAACGGTACAGCGACGGCGGCGAGCGCCGCGCGACAGGGCCGGTGGCAACGGCACGGCCGCCGCCCCTTCCGTGTCTTACACCTCGACCGCACAGCCGCCCTCCTCCCTCCACCGTGGACGCTGGCTCACAAACCTCGCAGCTCGGGCCCATCGCCTCCTTCTCTTCTGTCCTCATGAGCGGAAGTTCTCCTTTACCAACCCTGTCGCCCTCAGCCCCTCATGGCTGATGGCAAGGTCAAGGAGCAGGAGGAAGGGAACTATATGATCTGAGCCCACGTGGTAATGGACTAACCAGGTGTGCAGGACGACCGACGAGAGCACCTGAATGTTTCTGGTGCCGGTTGAGGTGAATGGTGATTTCTGACACCTGACCATCTATCACCCGATGCCATGTCGATGATGAGGTATTGTTAAGTATGTAGAGGCTGACCTTCCGTTCACATTATGAATTGGGATTTAAAAAAAAAAAAAAAACTGTCAACGGACGCAACATGAGCTGGTTGGAGGTTACATAAGAAGTGTAGGACTCTGGACTATTGCGGGATCCGGGATCTCTGGCTGGCCTACTGGAATTAGTTTGGTTTCAATTTCATTTATTGATATGGACATTTATGTATAGGTACTTCGTTGAAAATACTCAAAAAATAATAAAGGTCACATTAACAGGCTAACTACTGACGAACATGGACTTGAAGTGGGTACCCAAGGGACGCAGGACGATGCCGTCCGCAGCCTAAGCGCCTCATTATTGAAACTATCTAGGCACTTCGATGTTAACCATTAGGTCGATGGCTTATATAAGGCCTCTTCAGAGAAAGCAATTGCTCGGAGTAGGTACTTGTATGTACTCTATTCAGCTATATCCACTTCGCTCAAACAGAGGATGCTCCAATGTATAGGTGTCAAAAGGACTATCCTGGGCGTCAGTTTGGATGTGCATTGTGCGGGCAACGGCCCACCTGTCTGACAATGAAGACATCAGACATTCTATCATAAAACTGCTGAGTGCTGACGCCAGATGTTCCGCAGCCGTGAATGTTAAGTCTTTCGGGGGCAGGGGGACTTTGTTATAGAACTTTACTTCTTTACGTCTATAGGTATATATTCCAATGGTAGAAACGGTGTGGGAATGCTGTCTGAATGCTGTGGCTGTGACGTGTTTATTTTTTGTTCTTACAGAGGGCTAGGTACGAGTCGTGACAGATTGTTCACTGGCGCATCCAGGGGGGGGGGCATTAGGGGCATATGCCCCCCCCCCGACAGGAGCCTGGGGAGGGCATTCAGTACAAGTATGCCCCCCCCCCGTTCAGACTTACACTTCTTACGCCTATAACGAGGAACTAAATAAAAATGGTTTAGAAAGCCTTCCTAGTAACTACTTTTGTGATCAGAGTCGTTTTAGTCAGCGGCGCGAGAACTTCTTCCAGACTGGGGGGGCTGAACCATAATAGAGATCAACCTAGGGTACCCCCAAATCTAGTTTTCTCACCGGTTTTAGGCCACTTATTTTTCAGACTTTGGTCTTTTCAACAACAACAACAAAAAAACGAAAAAAAATGCAAAAAGTGAGTCATTCCGTCTCAGCTGAGTGAAGAAACTACCGTTCTGGCAACCTGGAGTAAAGGTTTTAATCTGTCAAATGAGTTGCCGAGCCAGTGAAAGAGGTGGATTTTTCACTTAGGTACATGCTTTCTTCCTATGTGACCCACAACCCCTAATTTGGGAAGGACAAGCTGCGGTTCCTGGCCTCATGAAAAGTTGTGTGGACCGCCCCCACGGCCGCAGAATTGTGAGGGCAAGCTTCCCCCATTGCCCCCTCCCCCGGTTCCCGCGCCTATGTATGAATCTATGAAATTAGGTATGTTGGTAGATTTCCGATTTCGATTCCTCCAGCTGGGGGGGGGGGAGGCTCAAATACATTACGAGCCCCCCCCCCCCAGCTTTTCGGCTGGGGGGCTCAACCCCCGCTAGTCCCCCCCCCCTCCCGGTTCCCGCGCCACTGGTTTTAGTAACCTCAATTTAGTTGTCATTGCTTTATTTTGTCTAAAAATATGCTGCTTCTTAGTTCTAACCACAGGGAGTCATGCCGCTTCAACCCTTTTGACCGTATTGTCTAACGATGGCACTCATATTGCGCAAATCATGCAGGAATCGGCCGCCGCCTATGCTTGGGAATAGGGATGGTTAGAATATGATTTACCTGTATGGCCGCAGCCAGTGCAGCGTAACCAGGGGGGGGGGGCACAAGGGGCGCGTGCCGCCTCATTAGATGCATGGTGCCCTATGGGCCCGAGAGACCCTGCAGTGCCAATTGGCCGCTCAGGGTCCAAGCGTGCCTTATTTCGACTGAGATAAGACCCGCAGGCCTCGTGAGGGCACCTCACAGAGTCACGGGCTCCTGAGTCACATCACACATCTCCATAAGGGCCCCACTCCGGCTTCTGAGGGCCCTGTGCTGGCCTCTGAGTGACCTTGCTGACCTATTAAGCGTCAGCTCTAATTAGGGTCCTGGCCCATACCCGCATGGAACGGCTCCACAGTTCCACACCAGTGTCTCTGAGGGCCCATAACGGCGCCTGTGAGGGTCTTACACCGGCGCCTTTGAGGGCCCAACACCGCCAATCTGAGGGACTAACACCAATATTTCTTAAGGCCCTACATCGGCGGCGGCTCTGAGGGCCCCACACTGGCGCCTCTGAAGGTCTTTCACAGGCGCATCTGACGGCTACCTACCTGCACTCTGTGGGCCCCACACTGGTGAGTCTGAGGGCTCCCAGTGACGCCTGAGAGTACCACGCCGGTCTCCAGAATCCCGCAAGGCTCCTGAAACCCTCTGCTGGCCCTTGCTGGTCTCTTGAAGACCCCTTGCCCCCATGCATGTGTCTCTGAGGAGTGAGGACTCCCACAACGATGCCTTTGAAAGTCTTCACCGGCGACTGTGAGGGCACCACACAGACGCGTCTGAGGGCCTTACACCGCCACCTCTGAGACACCAGTGTCTCCTGAGGCCCACATCGGCGACTCTCAGGGTCCCACACCGGCGCCTCTGGGGCCCCACACCAGTGCCTCTGGCAGCCAGCCACCGGTAACTCTGTAGGTCCTACACCGGTGACTATGAGGGCCCCACCGGCGTCTGAGAGTACCATGCCGATCTCTAAGGATTCCACAGGGCTCCTGAAGACACTTGCCGGCCTGTGAAGGCCCATTGTTGACATCATACGGCCTGTTACC